AAAAAAAAAAAAAAGCGCATATGTGCCACATCACTAATTTGCGCATGGCGTAGCTAGGCCCTGTATACACACACACCCCTTACACCATAGCTACGACGAGGAGGGGGAGGAGTAGGGGGAGAACTAGAGGAGGACGAGATAGGAGGCAGAGTTCATGACGAGGAGTAGGAGTAAAGCCTTTTTTTCTTTTTTCTTTTTCCGGACAATATAGGGGATCCGAACCGGAATCCGGATCAGTCTGGATATTCTGGAATATTCTGGAATATTCCGGTTTCCCGAAAGTTCGGAAGGGCCCGGGAGGTCTGGGGTCCGGGGTCCGGGGTCCGGGGTCCGGATTCAGTCCGGTGTCCGGTCCGGCGTAGCTATGCTTTTCACTTGTGAACATGGCTTTTGACTGTGGGATGTGACTCCTGTCTCTGTGACACGACTCTTGCCTGTGGGACTACCCTTTTTCTCGTGGGATGTGTCTCTTCAATACGACTTTGCAATATGAGACGTGACTCTTGCCCCTAAGATGTGACTGTTTGCCGGATGCCTGTTGGACTGGACTGCTGAGGTACCCGACTGTGACTTTTCTGAATTTGATGAACTCGGCCTCTCTTTGAGATCCGAATTTGGGGTCTGAATCGGGGAAGGCCTTTCACTCTCGCTGGCCTAATTTCGAGGTCCTCCGAGAAAAAAAACCAATTTTATCTATCTACTATGTTAACGCCTCTCTTAGCTCTTTCATAATATGACACAATATGCGGTGTTGTTTCTAATAGTTCATCTCTCGTGAACCAGCGATCTTCTGTAGGTTCCTGATAGGCAAATCTGACCTTATATTGTCGCTGTGGTCTACCTCTGGGTCCAGATCTGTAAACATCTTCCCCAACAATCTTATCCACATCATACTTACCATCCATATCAGGGGGAATCATAGATCTGCGTGATGGAAACATGTCATTAACGCAAGGCAATAACTTTGAAGCATGGAACACCGGATACGTGTGCAATTGTGGAGGAACGTCGGCAACATAAGAAGGACCATCCACATCACCAATCACATCAAGAATCTGCCAGGGGCCTCTGTAGGCAGGTAACAACTTCTGGGAGACGTTCTCCGCAGGGAGGAACTCTTTTGACTTCACCCATACCAAATCTCCTACAGCAAATTGCGAGGGTCTGCGGTGCTTATTAGCCTGTTCGGCCATTTGATGCTGTGCTTTACTAATATTTTCTTTAACTTTTTCCAAATCTTTCTGATATTGAATAGCAAATTCCCTAGTTCCTGGCGGAAGTCTCTACACTTGATCTGGGTTTAGGCAGTCGATGGGTCTACTTGGGCGCCACCCAAGAAGCAGTTCAGTCGGTGTTCTAGATGTAGCTAGATGCACAGAGTTATTATAGGCACTTGCAACTTTTGGGAGATGTTCATCCCAGTCAATCTGATCTGGCCGGATGTACATGCGCAGCACTTGCTGCAGCAGCTTATTCATCTGCTCAGTCTGTCCATTTGTCTTAGGGTGTCTACCTGAAGACATAGTCAGTTTGGACCCGTACACCTTCATCAGTTGCTGCCACTGCTCACCCGTGAGCCGCGTATCCCTATCACTTAGGATAGTGAAGGGATGCCCAAAATCTTTCACCCAATGATTAAAGACTTCCCTAATCACCACATCAGCTTTTGCTTCTGCAGGAAGTGGAACAAACACAGCAAACTTTCTAAATCTGTCCACTATAACCATAACTTGACTTTTTCCATTTCTACTTCTTATTTTTGTGTCCATGAAGTCGATAGACACAGAGTCTCCAGGACCTGACGGAATGGGTAGAGGTTTGAGTAAACCAAGGGGAGGCTGTGTGAACTCTTGTTCAGTTGACAAACTTGACAGCCTTGCACATAAGCGATGCAGTCATGTTTTATTGCAGTCCATGTATAGGAACACAAAGTGTCTTCCTCCAGCCAAAATGTCCATCAGTGT